ATAGGGCATAAAACAAAAAACTTAAAAATCTGCAATCTAGAAAGTAGCCCTATATATATTTATCAGATGGGTGGAACATCCCATCTAGTCAAATTCAGTATAAAAATAACAAAATTCATAGCCTAAAAATTAGAATGAAACTCATCGACCAAAATGATTCCAATGATAGGTTATATTTGTGAAAAGAGCAATATAGTGACCATATCATGTAATTAATTCTGACTTTAAATAAATTGTTGAAATCCCTGTAACAATTAACTTATTTGTCAGTAGACTGTCTCGGCTTGATCGCTTTCGGACCATAACCTTGAGAATGAGATTATTCTTATTCTAAAACATTCTTATTCTATAGAATGCGATTCCTATTTGATTACTTGTTATTTCTATTCCATTATTTGTAATTTTTATTCGATAAATTGCTATTCAAATTACAGGAAATATGACAATATGATTCATATATCATAAAATTTACATATTTTTTTCCTCGAAAACACGCGTTTCCTATTCGATGTCATTAACAATCGGCTGCTAGTCGCTAATTTTGTCATTCCTATTCGATAATTTTTTTTATTCGATAATTATTTGGTTTATATGCAATAAAGTTGTTTTTCGAAACCATACTAGCATCCATTTCTATTCGAAAAAATACTATTCCTATTCAATAAACTTCTCATTTTATTACATAATTTTATCTCTATGATCTCCTATGCGATGGTTTTTTTTCTTTTTCAATAATTGCCATGATTGCATTCTGGGAAATATAACAAATTAAACTAGAATTGGTTGTAAACTCAATTAATTAGGAATGTAAAGTTTCACATCATTATCGAATATAAATCATTTTATTACATAGATTGACAAAACAAAATTTGAAAATTTTGGGAATAAGGAACAAGTTTTCTCTCTTCAAGACTAAGGGATAACATTTCGTAAACATTAAAGTCATTACATTTCGTAAATATTATAAGGTCATTATAATTACATTTCGTGAATATTAAGGTCATTTCATTGACGAGGAAGAACAATGTCTACGTATTTTTTGAATGACCCTCGTATAACAACATATTAAGGGGGTCCCAATTTTTAAAGTTGATGGAGGGAATTCTACCTTTATTTTCCCCATTTCACCTTTTTCATGCTTTTAAAAAATTTTCATTAAGTTTAAAACTTCCACCATCCCGAAATCCACTTTTATTTACTTTTCTTTATAAGATTACAAATGGCATTTAAGTATATGCTACCATGTAATTTGCACCTATATATACTATAAATGAGAACAGCATGTAGATACACTGGACAAAATTGCTAACGCACCACCTAAGAAAATAAATATTTTACTTTAAAAAACTTGTTTATTATGCATTTGATATATAAATATGTTACTTTAACAAAAAAATAAGGCTTATTAATGCTAAACCTTATAAATAACTACAATGTTATTGAAGTGTGACCAATTTGTAGAAAAAGATATAATCGGGTCTATTCCATTTTTGAAGAAAACGATTTCAATTTTTTCTTTGTTTTAATGTTGTTTACATTTGTACTAATTTAAAAAACAGGGAAAAAGCACACCGTATGCGGCGTTTGACGCTAGAAGAGCGTGCAAACGCAGACAGGATGGCGTTTGCAGAGGGTCTTCTTTAGAAAAATTTGTAAAAAATAAAAACAATAGAAAGGTTATAAATTCCACTCTTAAAAATTGTTCCGAATAGATAAACAAACATAAAAATATTTACTATAAATAATCACGGCATTAAGTTTGCAGCATATAAAAAATTTTAAAATGTTCCACAAAACTGGGTAGACCGGAAGTGGAGTGGATTTGGTATGGACACTAAGGTATCAGATGATTACTAGGAGATATGAGAGTCAATGACTCTTTGTAATTTGATTTTTAAGCGAGGACTACACCTACAATGTAGGGCAATCTCACAGACCCCTTAAGTGATCAAGAATTTCATACATGTGCAAAATTGGTGCGCAGTGACGTGACGCGCGATGTTGGTGACGTTTGACGGTACGTTTTAATAGCGCTACAGAAAAATTGACGTCAGGTTCTAATAGTGTTACTTGCTTGACTGGCACCCCATCGCTTCCTCTTTTTACTTGAAATACGAGTTTAAAAAGTCATATAGGCAATTAATATTTAAACTTATGAACATCAAAGTCGCTATGATTTGTATACATGTATTATTAATTTTGTTAATTACACGAGGCACTCTCAAACGCTTTTTCATGTATTACGTTGAAGCAAAACGAACTTTACGCGTAAAAAACGTCCACTGGACAAATATGTTGAACCTCCTAAATGTTGCGTAAAAAAATAATTAATGGAGTAAAGAGCCATAGCGCATTTGATAGTCACTTTCGCCTACTCTAGTAGTGATTTTTTAAATACTTTGTGTAACAAAACTTTTGTCATACAATGTTAGTTTATACACGCCTTAAAGCAACTCACACGAAAATAAGACTCAATTATTAATAGTTCCCTCATATGATAGTTATAAATATCGTTCAGTTTATATGGAGAATATAGTAAATACTGAGATACCCCATTAAACAATGACAAACTGTAGGAAAAGACCACCCTTAACCAGAAAAACAACTTCTGAATAATTTTATTTGGATATGACTGCACTTCATTACGCTTAGATAATTTTGGTTAAAGGTGGTCTTCATACTGAAAATGTTGAAAATATGTATTTAATTTTTCTTCTTAAATTATTTCAAAATTCAACAATCTGTCTTAATTTTATCCAATAGATAAGCAAGTCTTCCTGGCATAGTGGTATGATTGCTGGATTGAAAATATAATGATCGTGAGTTCGAATCTCACAGTGCGTCCACTGCGATTTATTGTTTTTTCTTGCGTGCATTTTCCTATGTTATCTTTTATTATTTCATAATACATGTATAAATAATTTTTAAAAGAGATATATAATGCAACATTACACATTGCAAGTATCTTGGGGAAAATTTTTTTGAAACTATTTTAACGACCCAAAGTCATAGCTGCTAGCCTGTTTTATTTTTAAAATTTTCAAATATAAGAGTATTGGACAAGTAAAATTACTGTCATGCAACAGACTTGCAACTATGAAAATATAACACTGGTTCACAAATGATTACATACATGTGGATTGATTTTGATTTGAAAAGGTACATGTATCTATAAATAAAAACAGGTGATTTCCTTTTAAATACTTGTGTAGGCCGAGTCGTCGGTAAGGCAGCTATGGCTCTTTATAATTCTGACATTCAATCTGGCCTTTTAGAGTAGCACATAATGAACATTCAATTATTTCTGTAGGTTATGGGGAACACAATAAAATTTAACGACTCGGAAATAGGCAATGTCTTATTTTTGCACGTCATTTTAGACGCTGGACATTTCTGTTGAACTTATAGTCCAATTAATAGCTCCAAAGGATGCAGTTTGGTATCAAAATCAATGAAATATTTAAAATCTATATGAAAAGCACATTATTTTGATATAATTTGTTTCTATTTAAAGTTTCTTGTAAATGAGCAAATTTATTGTTGATATTGATATGCACGTTTTTAATAAAAAGCGTTACAGATTCATCATCTGTAAAAACTATCGCTCTCTATTTCTTGCCAACATTTAATGCAAAATCGTTTATACAGCCACAAATGAAATGGATTGCTCTAGTTTTGAAAAGAAAATGAAAATTCTAGATTCACTTTTGAACGCGCTACACACAAAAAATGCATGATCCCTGCTTAAAAATGTAACGCGTTACACGCTTAAAATACCTTTTATTTGCGCTTTTAAATTTTATTTTTTTGCATAAAAACTATCTAAATGTTATTTTCTTACTAAATTCAAGTAGTTCTGTTTAAACCCTATCCATCCATACCAAAATCATCTATATTGCGAGTATATTTTAAAAATCACCGATGAGTTTAATAGGTCATATTCTAAAATTGTAAAATGGCACCAACACCGCGCGTAACGTCAGTACACAGCTGGAAATTGGTTTTCGGACAAGAAGGGTTTTCGTGGGTTTGTTCATGATGCCAAGACATTTGTCACTCCCACTGCTTTTGAAATCATGGCATATCATATACACTAGAACTGATCCGGCAAATGTTAAATACACAATGAAAATTTACAAGTGGTGCGTTAGCAATTTTGTCTAGTGTATGTGCAAAACATAAAGCTTTTATCTCATACTTATTTTAAAAAAAATAAATTATTTATCATTATGCAAACCCATTTACAATGTCTAAATAACCCGGGTCAGGATAGTTAGTATACCAAAAATAACAGAGTAACATATATTTTAGCATTTCTACAAATGTCACCATCTTATTTTTATACGAGTGAGTTTTTGTTAAATTCAGTAAAATGTCATATTGCTTTTAATATATGTTTTTACATAAGAAAATGACATATCTTTTGTTTCAGTTTCGTTCTGAAATCTACAAAACATCTTAAATTTACATATATTATATATATATGCTAAGAAATACAAAATGGTATTTAAAAATTGTATTTTGGAATTCCATTCAGACTAAAACCTAGAACGACATGCTTCCACTGTAAATCAAAATTTAACACAGAACTCAAGATTTTTTCATAGTATATAAACATGTTCACAATCAAAAAGTAAATCTCTAATATCTTCAATTTCATCAATTATATTACATGTAACATATGCTCTATATTTGCATTTAAAAAGAAAACTGATTCAACACATAGTATTATTCATTAATTTGTAATTAAATTCACATATTCTTTTTTCATGAATGTCTTCAACCTTGTTTCTATATATATCCTTCCAACTTTCTTGGTTCTAAGTTACTGTTGCATTTCATATCACGTTGTATAAGTAACTACTTACAAAGGCCTTCAAGATACTTTTGTTTTTGTATGAATGTGTTCAAAATAGATCAAATTTACTTGTCCGATTGCACACTGTGTAAATACAGAATGTGTAATGTCATAAATCTATTTTACTCTGATTTTTTATATATTATAGATAGTCATGCTTCTCTATGTATCTGTATACACACACTTTCTTCTCCCAGTATGATCCAACCCAGAGAAGATGAGTTTTGTCGTCATAACTCAGACCCGTTGGTTCGATTAATCCTTGTTGACGTGTCAGTATCAGTGACAGGAAGTGACCGTTCTTGTCAATTATCTGTATTGTGTTAGTGTTAACATCACACACCAAAATGTTTGACAGGGCGTCTGTACAGATTCCACGTGGTTCTAATTGTGATTCTGATGGGTGCCCTGTGTAGGAGAAACGATGTCTACCTCTACTGTCTGTCACTGCTACAGCATCAACACCAAACCAATAATCAGACACAATAACATCTCCATTGCGGTTTTCTGTGATGTAGATAGGACGAGAATACAGTTTCTGGCCTGTGTTGTCATACTGTATTGTCTTTATGTGTTGTCCAGTGTCATTATATCGTGCTATTATGGGTTTAAAAAAGGACTGCATCCCGACCAGCAAGTCACCGTTGATGTGGGAGGAGTAGATACACTGTGGTTCCCATTGTTCTGTTTTCTTTATCAGTGTAGATGTTGTTCTGTAATGTTTAGAGAGTTTGATAAACTCAAAGTAATTATATCTGTCATATGATGTACTATGTCACCCTCCGTGTTTATCAAGATAAGATTTTTACCATCACTGATCCAGGCCCTGTCTGGTGTCACACAGGAAATGTGATATAATATTTCACCTGGCACTGTATTAGACCTGTGTAATACAGGGGTAGACATCTGTTTAAGCAGACCTTCCATTCTTACTTGTCTTTTTCCTCTCTGGATTATTTGGATTTCACCCAGTAAGTCAGTTACATCCTCATTTTTGATATCTTCAGAAACGTAGACCAGGGCGTATTGCGTGAGATTGGGAGTGTCCTTGAACTTGTGTACACGAGTTGTTTTCTTTAGGTACATTAGGAATTTTAGCGGTCTCTTCGCTGACTGATCAGATCTGTGTTCGAAGGTTTCTATGCTTGCAATATTTCTGTTTATTTTTCTCCTCTGTTGTTGTAAACTTAGAATGAATGTTTTGTGTCTGAGTTTTACATCACATATGACAGTGTCTATGAGGTTCCTTAGTTTCTGGGCTTTTGTTAACATCTTTGACTGAATGATAGAGATTTCTTTGTGACAAGTTTTCATATCAGCTTTGATTCCTGCCAGAACACAACTGTTATTATAGAGAGTCTCACTTCTAATGTTGTGAATAATAGCTCTGTGTTTTTGACGGTTTGTTTTGTATGTTGTTCTACTATTTAGTATCTGGTGATGTCTGTGTTCTGTACATTGGAAACAGATAGAAATTTTACAGGAATCACAGTACTCTTGATAAAACATGCCTGGATATTTCTTACAAGTCTCTTGTTTTGTAACGTAGTCATATTTCTCACGGTAAATCATGACATAGAGGTGCATGGTATCGAGATCAAATACATGTCTCTCCTTACACTTAAGACACAGGTCATGTTTACACGTGTTACAGTAGAATTCTGTGTCACCCTGACACTGGAAACACTGACGTACTTTACACTGGTTGCTGAATCCTGAACCCATGATCTTGAACACAAAGTCGTTCTTTTGAGATGAATTTATATTTTTAAAAGTGAATCACAACATTATGGGATATAGTATCTAGACCAATAACATGTCTCTCTTTATAATGTATACACAGGTCAATTTTACACGTGTTACAGTAGAATTCTGTGTCCCTTGACACTGGAAACATTGACGTATTCTACACGAGGTTGGTTGTAGTTGTATCCTAGCTTGTGCATTATTTACAGGATTTAGTTGTTATGTTCACATTCTGCTAAAACTAAATCAAATTAGTATATCAAACACATATATCTTATTACAGTATTCTACGTCAAAAAGCATATAAAAGAATCTTTTTTAAATGGTGAACTTTAGGATGACGTTTACTCAGGTTTCATAAAAAAGAAAGTTAAATTTTATAAAGTACAAAAAGTTAAATAAAAAATTGTTCTAAACGGATAAAATAATCATTGTTTTACTCAATATCAATTTAAAAATTTCATATTTTATTCTAAAAAAAAAATAAACAGGAACAAAAATCAATGTATGGTAATGCAGAGGAAATTCGGACTAAATTTTTTATTTTTCAATTTTTGAAAATTATTTCTTCTTGCAATATTAATCACCATGTATAGGTGACATGTATCTTTAAACATCATTTTGCAATGTTATGGGTATTAAAGGTCATAAATTATTTCAAATAATTTAACGCTAGGAGATAAAGTAATTCAAAAATATGAACAAAAACCATTCCAGACAACACATCTCAATAATTTGATAATTGGCTTCATATAATAGTAATACCATGAGAATTAGAGCAACAAATTACCTGCGGCTATAAGTAATTAAGAGTTCTTATCAGTCAGATCTTTTAAATATTCAATTTAAATTGGGAAAAATATAAATACGACAGAAGAAACTTGTACGGTAATAATTATTAGGTTTATGGCCAACACTCTTATCTTTTTTTCTTATGAAGCGAAGCTGTTCTGTTGCTATGATATACTGAGCAAAATAAGTTTAGCAATTGATTTTCCTTTGGTATAATTTAAAAATATTTTTCTCTTTTGTTTTATTTTGTTTCTTCTCATAATCTATTGAGATAAAGTTAAGAAAAGTAAAACTTGTTTTTTAAGCTTGACGCGCGGAATTTGTGTCGTCAAACGTTTTGACAATTTAACAATACAATAGGTTATGCTCGAACGCACACGGTCCGAGAAAAAAATGTTACTCGAAAAACCTTTCGAACACGCTTGTAAAAGAAAACCGGAAATAACCTGAAAAAACGACCAGGACTTACCTAAAATGATCGTCATAGGGCTATAGGGATACTAACCGCTGACTGCTCACAAAAAGATGTTGCTGAACATTTTAATGTGCATCCGTCTACAATATGTCGGCTTTCAAACCAATTCCGGACCACTGAAAATGTTAGTGATCGACAGCGTTCAGGACGTACACGGAAAACAACTGTCAGAGAAGATCGTTTTATTGATACGACGTCGAAAAGTAACCGTTTCGTGGCTGCTCCTAAAGTTGCAGAAGTTTTTCGCCGCGCTACTGAAGTGAGATTATGCGGGCAAGGTGTAAGAAACTGGCTACGTTCAGCAAATCTTCGAGCTCGCAGACCCCTAAAAGCTGTACCATTAGCTCAACGTCATCGACAATTTCGCCTTGCATTGGCCAACACCCATCGTCGCTGGATTCAACGACAGTGGAATGGAGTTTTGTTTACGGATGAGTCACGTTTTAACGTCGATTTTGCGGTTGGAAGAGTTCGAGTTTGGAGACGTCGAAATGAGAGATATGACCCCGAAAACATCACCCAACGTGACCATTACGGTGGAGAAAGTGCAATGGTGTGGGGTGGAATAAGCCATCGGATTAAAACTGACCTTGTGACCATAAATGGAACATTGAATTCGCAGGGGTACTGTGATGAGATCGTCGTTCCTTTAGTTGTTCCCTTCCTGCGAACATTTTTCAGCAAGACAACGCCCGTCAGCACACCGCACGCCACACACAAGACGCCCTTTATAAGAATATTGTTGAGATCCTAGATTGGCCTGCGAGATCACCAAATTTGTCACCAATTGAACATGTTTTGGACATTCTTGGTCGTCGTGTAAGACAGCGACATAACGTAAACAACGTTGCAGAAATGACCCTTGCCCTGCATCATTAGTGGAATTAAATCACTATGCTTCAGATGAGAAACCTTTTATAAGGATCATGAGACGCCGCTGTGTTGCTGTTATTGCTGCAAATGTAGGCCATACGAAATATTGATACTGAATGTGCCTTTACAGCCTGTTTCCTCATCAGTTTCACGCTAATTCTTGCGAATCAGAACAAGACTATCAATAACATTTGCACTTTTTTCTTATGTGAAGACAAATCTTACATTTTAATTTCATTTTAAGTATACTATGTCTAATTTTTTTGTCATGTTACATATTAAATATCTCTAATTGCTAAACTTATTTTGCTCAGTATATATTTCATTATTCAAAGAGTTATGTTGCTTGTAATATGTTGTGAGTGAAGAAGAAATTGGTCATAATGTGAAAAATTGAGGTATTATCTGAGAAATACTGAAGGGCCACTAGCATGAAAAGTAAGTCATTGACCTAGTTATTTGAAGTTGAAATTTTACACAAGAATCAGGGGTGTACATTGCCCATTAGATGGTTTTTCGTTCTTATCAGTGGAATTTTAGTCATCCTGAGTAAAGGTATACCTTAGCAACAATATGAAATAAATAAGGGTAATTTAGGCTGTGTATTTACAATATTCATATATGTCACCTTCAATTTTCAAAATTATACGTGTAATTTATTGATTTTGAGGGCAACATAAGTTTTGACGGACCAAAGGGCTTAAAGTGTTTTCCCGTGAGGCCAAAGGCAACAGTTTGGTTCAAATGCTCTTCAAAACGCATTCTGTCCGAGAACTCATTCAATATTTTAATGTCTTGTTATTATTATAACATCTTTTTATGATAATATGACCTCAACATTGGCATTGAGTATGACAAAATTGTGATGATTCTGAAACTGTTGACGAACACTGATTGATTGCTTAAGGTAGGATTCTTCTAACATTTCTTGTATTTAAAACTTTTCACAGAATCTAGAGAACAATATCACTAAGTGATTGTATCAATGAGATTAAATTTGACCGTTTAATATCAGAGGCAAGGTCATATCAAGGTCATTACCTTTTTCCTGGACATTAAGAATAAAAAAAATGACTGTTTCCAATCATGCGATCCCTACTTGTAATTCAAAAGATTGATTGTTTTTCTTTTTGCATAACGAGATGCTACCATATATGGCCTATAAGAAGATAGTACCAAATTGACGTGGATAATTCAAATAAAATGGATAATTGTTTGCTTATCCGAATTTCATCTACTTTTCTTAATTTTTTAGAAATTACTAGTTATTTTTATTTGCTTCCTATATTTAACTTTTTCTAATTTTCACATATAGTTAAGTTGTCACATAAAGGTACATAATAATACAAAAACTAAAAGTTTTGGTTGTTTACTAAAAGAGAAATAACACGTTTTACGGATTTTTAGATAAAATCTGTATTTAGATTTGAAGCATTTAAAAGCCAACATAGTTCTAGTATGTGTGAAAAATCTTACTTATTTGATATATTTTGAAACTTTATCTTCTTATTATTAATTTAACTCAAATTTGAAAATTTCTTCTAGTCTTTGATTGCGTAAAAATTATAACTAAATTCATTGTTCTATAATAATTTTGAAAATCCTTGCTAGTTTTCAATCGCAGTTTACCCTTTCTATTTAAAGTTGTATAATTGTGTTGAGGAAAGAAAAATATGGTCTTTTAAATCTCTTGTATCTATATATAAAAGACATATCAGAAAATGTACTTTGAATATTCCATCTAGTCAGAAACTAGAGAAGAATCCTACCTTAACTGTTCTTTTACGTCCCAAGGGAAACTCTTCATTGATATATAGAAATCGACGGTTCCGTGAGAGGTTTCAAATTTAGACCTAAAGACGGTAATCATGGACATCGAGCAGTGAAGTTCTATATCGTATCAACGTCTATTATGACTCGGGACTTTTCATTTAAAAGACCGTGCCTTTCACTTATAGTGCCGTGCTCTTAGCGAATGAACAGTTATTGCCTAGGTAGAGTCTATAACATGTCCCAGTCACGGTTTCCGGGAATATTATCTCCAGTACAATTTTTTGTAATAGAACACATGTTCGATCTCGATGCATACACTTCTGTAAACATATGACGTTATGTACGACAAGTTGGCAACTTAAATTCGAACGATAATCGGAGACTTAATAATATTATGACACCCATGTGAATGTACGATTTCACAAAGTTTGTGGTATTTAATAGGAAACATAATGATTAATAGACTGCTTTTTAATTACCTATCAGTATCAAAACTATATAGTCGCCCGCGTGGCGCAGTGGTTAGAGCGTCTGCTCTAGAGTTGCGAAGTAAGGAGTCAATCCTTACGTCGCGGGTTCGAATCCCACTGCGGGACGTGGAGACCGGTCTTTCGGATGAGACTGTATAAACCTAGTTCCCGTGTCGCAGTAGGTGCTACGTGTAGCACGAAAAAGATCCCTCACTGCTTAAAGGCCGTAGTGCCGAGCATAGGACAAAATTTGTAGCTCTCCACTGGTAAGTGGTGGCGTCTCCATATGAGTAAAAAATTCTCGAGAGGGACGTAAAACAATATACAATCAATCAATCAATAAATATTATATACAAGCATTGCCAACGTTGTATACTTAGCATATGTGTACGCATTGCAAAATACTATTATCATGATTAGGTATGTAATCTTCCGACACAAAAAGAAGGTAGTTATAAGAAGTCCAACCTATAAAAATAAGTAATTATTTTTTTTTAATGTCAATGTCCTGGGAGAATAGGAATTATAGGTCAAAAAAAATAAATAACGTTCAACGGGCAATATAACATGATATAGGTGTTCAACATAACCCAATC